GGTGGAGAGGCTGAACATGGATGGTGCTCGGGATGCAGCGAAAGAGGCCGCCCGTGGCCCGGCTCAAGAAAGGCTCTCGTGAGGAAAGGGGATTGGGGTTTAGGGTTCTCAAAAGGGTTTAGGGGTTTAGGGTTTAGGGTGATTTAGGGGTTTAGGGTTTAGGGTGATTTAGGGGTTTAGGGTTTAGGGTTGTCAAAGAGGTTTAGGGTTCAGGGTTTAGGGGGGGTGCAGGGGTTCGGGGCTTTACGGGTGCAGGTTTTTTTTTTTTAACGCTTTCTCTTGGTGTGGGCTCGTGGAGTCGGGGGGTTGAGGATTGTGGGGCTTTCGGACACTTAGTTTTGGCCGGTTTTTGGGGGCTACAGGTTTGGGGTTTGGGTCTTGCCCAAAGGGTCAAGGGGTCAGTGCTTAGCCACCATAAAGCCAAAAAACTCAGGGATTTGGGCGAGGGACAGCTAGGGTGCTGGGTTTTGGGCTCGCGGTGGTGTCTTAGGTTTCATAGGCTAGTCTAGTTCAGCAGTTCGCAGCCTTTAAGAGCTTTGGATGCTCCGAGCTAAATAACGCTGAATGGAGCACAGACATGCATGCTTGATTCGAGTGCTCCATCTGAGACGAAAACTGCAGGGGTTTAGGTGTATTGCTTCCCATGAGCGCTTTCATTGTCCGCTGACTCTGCGTGCATTTCTGCGTGTCTACGACGTGCATGGCGACCTCCGTCTCGCTTCCCTAACCCTCAGGGTCCAAGTAGTCCTTATTTTATGGTTTTGGAGGCCCCAAAAGGCCTCAAAGTCCCATAATAAGGAGTACTTGCACCCCCAGGGTAAGTCTTGATACGAACTCCTTTCGCATTTTGGAGCCTCAGGGTGTACCAAAGTAGGAGCTTTGGAGTGTTCCAAGGAGTTGGGTTCCGGGCTCTACTTGGGACTGCGGACTGTAGGCCCTAAACGTCCTTAAGCTTTCATCCCCTAGACCATGGCCTGTGATTCCGAAGGTTGGGAGCTTCACTTCCCTAAACCCTAAACCCTAGACCACGTACCTTCACTCAGGTGCCTGTGCTGAAGCCCGGAAGGAGTCCAACACAGCCACCTGCGCCGATCCTACAGAGGTCCCTTAAGCAGAAGGGTTTAGGGTTTAGGGTTTAGGGTTTGGGGGGTTCATGGGGTTCACGGGGTGATGGTTTAGACTTTGACCGGGTTTGGGTTTGTATAGGACATAGGAGTTTGGAAGGATTCTGTTCTTCTTCAACCAATGATATCCTTGACTTGTGTGTTTTTTCGATGATCTCAGTAGGTGTCCCGTACCAACAAAACATCGGGATAGTTGCCACTTTCGGCCGGGACTGTCTAAACGCCTTCAGTTAGCGGGACTTACTTGTAGCTAGTAATCCTGCAAACATGCACATCTGCAAACCTGCGTAAATTACCACGATGTGTCACTTTTTTCATAGCATGTACAGACGCGTCGCATTTTCACATATACATACGCACATGTACACGCTCCGTGTATGTATATTTATGTATAGGAAAAAAAAAATATATATATATAGGTAGAAAAAATATATAAAGAATATACATACATATCGTAAGTCTATGTCCCCCCCTTACTGAGTGCCTTCCTGTCTGTCTCCCTGTCTGTCTGTCTCTCTGTCTGTCTCTCTGTCTGTCTGTCTTGGGGGGTACTGGGCGCTCCCTACGCCAATGTCAAGAGTTCGCGTAACCAGCGAAGAGGATGGTGGCCAGTAGTGCCCTATCGTAGACACTGGGAGCATGCCATGATACGCTGTGACTACGATGCCTCCTTTGCCGTGCGGTGTTAACACAGGTACTGCATAGAGATACTCGCCACGACAGACTTCTTTGGAGCTGAGCCAATCTGTAGAGTATTCCTACCACGAGACAACATATCACGCTACAGCAAATCAGCATGTTGCAGATTGGTGCCATTAGCACAGCGTGTTTAATACAGCCATACAGAACAACACAAGCTAATGCTAAGCCATGCTGCATGACAGAAGGCAGCATGCCGCGGCATAAAGCTGATACAGTACAAGTCTTGCTTGCGGAGATAGTCTGTGGTCTGCGAGAGGTCTACGCGAGCAATCGCCGGATGCCCATCGATGATGATGTGGTGACTTGGCTTCACTTCGTGAGGGGGGAGGGTCAGGACGGAAGCCTTGAAGAGACAGTCCGGGACCCTTCGCAAGCGGTGCGATGCCTGCAGGACAGGAAGCGCATCAAGCAAGACCTTGTGAAGGAGTCCGAGAAAGATGCCATGAGAACGTGCATGGAGGAATCCGACAAGACAGGCTCGGAGACGCATGGAACCATGAAGGTGTTTGTCTGCACAAACGTGTCATGAGCTGCCATCGCCCAGGCTTCGACCGCTGCATGGGTGAGCTGGCAGAGCCGGCTGAGGTTGCAGGCAAGCTTGACCTCTCATTTTCAGGGAGTATCTGCAGGTTAACTATTGCTTCTGCTTCTGCTTGAACCGTGCAGGCGAGCTCTTCCGTGGCCTCTCGGATGAGAGGAAGCAGAACAAGGAGAAGCGTGCCAAAGAAGACGCAGCCGTGGAGGTTGTCGGTGAGCGATTCCAGATCTGCATGGAAGCAGCCACGAGCGACGGCCAGAAGAAGGACTGCCACGACGCGATGCTATCTCCGGTAAGCAGCATGTTTCCGCTTTTTGCCAGGAGCCAAAATAGCACCCAAACCTGTGGGCTGTCGCTACCTTATTGGCTTACTTAACGGGATATCCCAACCCCAGTGGCCCCGTGTTTGACTTCACCTTTCACCTGAACGAAACTAGCCAGCCAGAGCAACGGAAGCTGTTGTCGACGACGACTACTCGGGCACCGAGGATGCGCGCTGGTGCAGGCATGGCTGGCCTGAAAGAAGATGTGGAGGATGTCATGAAGAAATTCCAGCGAAGCCTGGCTGTCTTACGCACAATGGAGACGGTCATAGTACTAACGATCAGGAGCAACGACAAGGGCATCAATGACCTTGATGATAGCAGCAGGGTTGAAGATGATCAGAACAAGAATGGCAGCAACAACAAGAGGCTGCAACAGCAAGATCTCCAGTATCAGTTAAGCAGGATACTGAGTACTGTCAAAAGCCGGCTTGTACCACAAGTAGCAGCGATCAGTCCAATCGTGCCAAGAACACTCAGAGTGCTATATCGCATGAAGCAGGCCCAAAGCTACCCTTGTTGCCATTGGCGCTTATACAACTGATGCTGTTACACGCCAAGGCATTTTGTTACAAGGTGTTATAGTTTTGATCGACACAACCGTTGTGCGATACGACTATAGAGGCCACAATTCCGCAATACTCACAGCAAGAAATCAACACAGCAGCGTGACCACAGTGCTCGTTTCCGATGCCGCAGCATTTCCAGATTATAACTAATACTGCAATGGTACAGGTACTGCATTTCTAGACTGGTAAAGTGCTACAACACACCCGGATAAGCTGAGATTGGCTGTACTCACTGACACATCCGAGTTGCACAAGTTCCGTGCAAGACAGGTGCAGCACTTAAACGAAAAGTGGCAGATCACCGCAATATACTACTACGCACCATTCCATGTTTTACAAGACAGTGCCAGCAGCCGCTGCAGAACCAGCGACAGCAACAATAATATTAAGTTTACGAATATCAACCAACAGCGACGGCACTGGCACCGCCACCAGTAACAGCACAAATAGCGACAACTGCAACTGCAACTAAACGTGCAACTGCGACAGGGACAGCGGCAGCGACAGCAGCAGCAACAGCAACAGAAGCAGCATCAGCAACAGCATCAGCAACAGCAGCAGCAACAGCAGCAGCAACCACCAACAACAAAAACGACAGCCGCCGCTGCAGCAGCAGTGCTGCTGCAGCAGCAGCAGCAGCAGCAGCGGCAGCAGCGTCAATTACAACCACAGCCACAACCGCAACCTCAACCGCTATCACAACTACAACCACAACCATAATCACAAACAAAACCACAACCGCAACCGCAACCAGAACCACCACCATCGCCACAGCCACAACCAGCAGCAGCAGCACCACCACCACAACCGCAACCGCAACCCCAACTGCAATCGCAACCACAACCACAACTTTACCAACATCAACGACAATACAACTAAGACTAAGAGCAACAGCAACAGCGACAGCAACAGAATAGCAAAAACAACAGCACCAGCAACAGCAGCAGCAACAGCAACAGCAATAGCAACAGCAACAGCAATAGCAACAGCAGCAGCAAAAGCAACAGCAACAGGAACATCAACAACAGCAACACAGCAGCGTCCATCAGCAGCCACAACCGACAGCCAACAGCTAACAGCCAGCAACCAACAACCAACAACCAACAGCCAATAACCAACAACAGACAACCAACAACCATCACCCAGCAACCAACTGCCAACAATCAGCAGCCGACAGCTAACAACCATCAACCGCAATAACATCTAACAACATAGCAACGACAGCATCCGTTCATAGGCATGACAGCAACATGACCGGACACCCCAAGGCAACACTGTGGGCATGGCAGCTCGTGCTTGCAACGAGACACAGAGGCCCGGACTCGGCTGGTGAAAACCTGAGGGTTTTCTGTATTGATGACGATTCCTGTCTGTGATGTGCTGTGATTATCGGTAGGCATATGCACTTATGCGACAGCTGCTGCCGCTCGTATCCATTACGAGTGTTCCTTGCTTACTGCTTAAGTTGCCCTCGGTTGTCGTTTTCAATACATGCAGCTGTTCCTCTAGTTGCTATCAATCGAACCTTGCCGTTGTCGGAGCAGGCCGATGTGCATCGAGCAAGCAAAGGAGGAGCTCAAGAAAAGTGGCCTCAAGGACCCAATGGGGATGGGGCCGTGTGGACTTCTGGCATTTTTGCGTCCGCTGGCGCTGGCAATGGTATACAGTAGGAGTGGTCGCCATCGTCGCAGCATAGTGCGAAAGCTACGGCCGCTGCGATGCCAATAGAAGTACTACTGCTACATCAATAGTGCTGCTACTACTGATACAACGACGACGACTAACATGTAGTACTGCTACTACTGCTACAACCACTGCTACTACTGCTGCTACTGC